TCATGTGCGTGTGTGTGTGTGTGTGTGTGTGTGTGTGTGTGAGAGAGAGAGAGAGAGAGAGAGAGAGAGAGAGAGAGAGAGAGAGAGAGAGAGAGTGTATTGTTTTTATTTAGGTGATCCTCACAGCAAATCTTGTTAATTGTGTCAAAATTCTTAACTCTTGGCTAGCAAGATTCCAACCAGACTCTAGAGTGAGGAGCTTCTTTCCCTCCCCTTACCCCCTGAATGCTTTCTCTTTCTTCCCTGCCTCAGTTTCCTCCTCTGAGACTTCAATCCCTTAATCTTAAGGGTGATGATGACTGAAGATCCATTCTCCACAACTTCTCAACTGCTGAGCCAGGATGCAGCCCCTACCTCTCCAGGGACTAGAGTCTGCACCTGTGTGACCTAAGGGTGCATGAGAAGGTCCAGCCTTGGAAACTGAAAAACTGTCATGTGATGGGAACCAACAGTGGTCCCGAATATTCCCACTATCACGTTTTCATCCCAGATGCCTCTAACAGACATATGCTTCATCAGAGTTTCCTGCCCATCGAAAGCCAGGAAAGCTCCACCAACTATATAGTGTTCCCTAAGCATCATATGGCTAGGCCCCATCACTCTCTCTTTTATATCTCTATGCCTTAAATAAAGCAGGTGCTCACGGGTCTCTAGTCAACACCAAATGGATGGCCCACCATCTGGGGAAAGGTGCTCTGGGCAATGCTGAGAGGAATGCAGTCACAGCCTGCCATCTCATGGCCTTTTTTGGGCTCTACTGGGAGCCCTGAGACCTGCTCCTTAGGTCTGCCTTGCACCTTAGCTCCCCATGGGAAACCACTGGACTGTCACTGTGCCTCACAACTTCCTCCTTTTGCTCCTTCCAAGCCCTGTATGTTGTGATCATCAAACTGGATTCAGCTGGGAAGACCTCGCTCCTTTAGGAGTTCATCCAGTGTCCCCACCAAGACCTTCAACACTCAAGATCACTGGGTGGGGGATTTCCTGTGGAATTACCTTCCAAGTGGGAGATGTTGGAAGTGAGGAGGAGCCGCAGCCACTGGGGTACTCTTACACCTGCTAGACAGGCAGACTAACAGTTATGGTGCAGTCTCTGCAGAGACTGGGTGGCTGGAGGAGGCCAGCATGGGGCTACTCTGAATGAACATGTCTCAGACAACCAAGGGTGCCGGTACTGGCTAAGAAACAAGACAAGCTTGGAGCACTGAGTGCAGCTGAGGTGCCACCTTCACCCATGTGCCAGGCTGCAGGGCAGTGGACAAGCTGGGCTTGCAGCCATGCCCAAGCACCATATGAGAATATCCTGAGCAGGAAAGGAGCTTGAGCAGGCAAGAAAAGACTGCACCCAACCAACCAACATTTATGGCCCCACGCAGAAGTCTCCCTAGGGCTGTGCTTAAGATAAAGAACATTTCAAAACATTCCAGGTCACAGAGGCCTGAAACCTCATCTAGTCTACCAAGTACACGCAAGGAAACTTGCTTTAACAATCAACTTTATACTAACTGCACCACGCACACTGCTTTGTTTTTTAAGAGATAGGGTTTTAATGGGCATAGTATGCACACACCTTTAATGCAAGCACTTAAGAGACAAAGGTAGGCAGATTTCTCTGAGCTGGAAGCTAGCCTGATCTACATAGCAAGTCCTAGGCCAG